TTTATATATATGTTGTTATTGTAAAGGTGATACACAGAGGGGTTGCAGTTACATGAGTCAGGTAATGAATGATGTCACTCCCTCCCCTCGCTCTCTCCCAGTTTTTCCCTCTCATCCCCACCCACAAGTTGCATTTTCAGCAGTGTCTAGTATCACTGCTACATTTGCTCGCTCTTTATCCTATCATTTCTGTGTCCCCCTCCCTCCCCACCAAAGATAAACTTACAAACACGACAAAAGGTAAGGTAAAAAAGGTATCTCATAGTTCTCTTCAAATTTACTCTATTAAAAATTCAATCCAAGCTGTGCACCAGTGGCTCATGCCAATAATCCTACCTACTCAGGAAGCTGAGATCTCAGGATCATGGTTGAAGCCAGCCAGGCAGAAATGTCTGCAAGATTTATCTCCATGAACCAGTAAAAAAAAAAAAACAGGCTGGGAGTGTGGCTCAAGTGGTAGAGTGCTAGTCATGATTGAAAAAACTGAGCTAGAGCTTGAAGTCCTGACTTCACATAGTAATCACATATTTGTGTGCGTGCGTGTGCGCGCGAGCACACACACACACAGCTCACTTTCATTTTACAAAACTTCAAAATATACAAAAAGAAGGGACAGCATGATGATTCTCCCACTCACCAACCACTATGAACTCATATAGTTCATCTTGCATTCTTTTCCTCTTTTTTCCTTTTTCTCTTTCTTCCTCCCTCCCTCCCTCTCTCTCTCCCCCCCCCCCCCCCCTCTCTCTCTCTCTGTTTCTTTCTTCCTTTCTTTCTTTCTCTCTTTTTTTTTTTTTTGGGTCCGGTCGTGGGGCCTGAACTCTGGGCTTGGGTGTTGTCCCTCAGCTCTTCAGCTCAAGGCTACGCTCTACCACTTGAGCCACAGTGCCACTTCTGGCTTTTTTCTTTTTTGCTTATGTGGTGCTGAGGAATTGCCTCAGGCATGCAAGGCAAGCGCTCAACCACTGAGCCACCTTCCCAGCCCCTCTTTCTTTCTTTCTTTCTTTCTTTCTTTCTTTCTTTCTTTCTTTCTTTCTTTCTTTCTTTCTTTCTTTCTTTCTTTCTTTCTTTCTTTCTTTCTTTCTTTCTTTCTTCGGTGGTGCTTGAACTCTGGGCCTAGGTGCTGTCCCCCAGCTCTTCAGCTCAAGGCTAGCACTCTACCACTTGAGCCATAGCACACTTCTGGTTTTCTGAGTGGTTTATTGGAGATAAGAGTCTCACGAAGTTTTCTGCCTGGGCTGGCTTTGAACTGAAATCCCCAGATCTCAGCCTCCTATGTAACTAGTATTACAGGTGTGAGTCACCGACACCCATTTTTTCTTTTCTTCCTCCCTTCCTTCCTTCCTTCCTTTCTTTCTTTCTTCCTTCTTTTCTTTCTTTCTTTCTTTCTTCCTTCCTTCCTTCCTTCCTTCCTTTCCCTTCCTTTCTTCCTTCCTTCCTTTCCTTTTTTTGTACTAGTTCTGGGGCTTGAACTTAGGACCTGTACATCCTTTTTTTTGGTTGGTTGTAGAACTTAATCTAAGGGCCTAGGTGCTATCCCTGAGTTCTTTTGTTCAAGGCCAGTGCTCTACCACCGGTAAGCTACAGCTCCACTTCTGGTTTTCTGGTGGTTAATTGGAGATAGAATCTCATGGATTTTTTTTTTTTTTTTTGGCCTGGGCTGACTTTGAATTATAGTCCTCAGCTCTCAGCTTCATGAGTAGCTAGGATTACAGGCGTGAGCTACCAGTGCCTAGCCCCTGAGCTTCTTTTGCTCAAGTCTAGTTCTTTACCACTTTAGCCAGAGCCCCACTTCTGGCTTTTAAAAAGTAGCTTATTAGAGATGAGTCTTATGGACTTTTCTTTCCAGGCTGGCTTTGAACCGGAATCCTCAGATTTCAGCCTCTTGAGTTACTAGGTGTCTAAGCATGAGCCACCAACACTAGCAGATCTTGCTTTCTTTAAACACTCATTCATGCCCATCTGCCCCCAGAATTATTTTGAAGCAAATCCTACATGTGGAATTTCATCTGGAAATATTTTAGTACATCTCTAAAAGGCTAAGATTCTTTATAAATAAAACAATATCCTTATTACACATTCCAATATTGGACATCAATCCTCTAAAAGAACCAAATAACCAGTTGATGCTCAGCAGTCTCTATTTCTCTCAGAATGTTCTTTTTCAGTTTGTCTATGTTAGGTATCAGAACCCAAAATAAGTTGTATATAGTTGATATGTTTGTAGGTCTGAGCTTTCTCTTTCTTTCTGGATAATTATTTTTAAAGAAACATTTTTTTAATTTCTGAATTTTAATTGTTTCCCATGGTATTTCTTGAACATGTTCCTCTGTCTTCCATATTTCTTGACATTGATCAAATTCAGATTTAATTGTTTAGCAAGAAAGCTCGAACTGAAGAGAGTTAACATTATGTAGTTTCCATTGAGAGCCACATGCCAAGTAATCTCCTTCTGTGATGTTAGCAAGATATTGCTTTCAGTTTAATGCTTGGCATCTATGTATTTACCCAGTCTGGGGACATCTGATCGTGACCCTGAATCCATGGACACTCATGATGGCTACATGTGGATCAGAGGAGAACATAGCCTAATATATAATCAGGGCCTCTCACTTTGATCACTGTTAGATTTTAGGAAAGGAAATTTTATCCAGCTCTGGACTTCCTCAGATGGGGAGGGTGGAGGGTGAGGAAAGAGGAAGGGAGGAAGCGTTGCTCAAGGAACAGTTTACCACTGAGCAGGAAGTCAGTCCAGTATACCCTTGGCCCTGCTGCTGTCCTCACATCCAGCTGTGAACCTGATGGATGTGAAATGATGTCCTGCAAAACCAACACAGCCTCGTTGTGTTTGCTGAGTTCCTCTGGAAGGATTTCTGGCTCCACTAGTGAGAGTGGGCCAGACTTGCCCCTGGCTTTATAAGATCTTATAGTCCTTCCTTACAGTCCTGCCCCAGGCACAGGTTTTTCCTTAGTCAGATTTAGGTCACTTTCATGTACCTTCAGTAGAGAGGGAAAAGTTTCTCTCCATTGAGGTGAGAGGGAAGATGGAGGAGAGCAGAGAAGCCAGAGGAACAAGATGGAGATGACTGGGTGGGGGAATGAGCCAGAAGGAGCAAGCCACACATCTGAAGGAAAGCCGTGACTGCTGGAGTGGAGGCAGCAGCATAGTCCTTGCTGTGTTGACTCAGCTGCTGCCTTGTACAGCCATGTGCACTCTCTCCCAGGAAAGAAAAATAAAGGGTACAGCTCCTCCCTTTTCTCTTCACAATGCTCTTTCTTGAAGCATGCATCCATCTTTTTTTGCTTTATGCAGATCTCTTAAATTTTCTTAGCTTATTTTCTAGACTGGACAAATATTTATGTCTCTGGGATATTCCCAGTTGAATGTCTCATTGATTTTTTTTTTTTTCTGGTCCTGGGGCTTGAATTCAGGGTCTGGGCACTATCCCAGAGCTTTTGTACTCAAGGCTAGCACTCTGTCATTTGAACCACACCTCCACTTCTGGCTATTTGTAGAGGTTAATTGAAGTTAAGAGTCTCACCAACTTTCTTGCATGAGCTGGCTTACAACTGGGATCCTCAGAGTGTAGCCTCCCGATTAGCTAGGATTGCAGGTGTGAACCATTAATGCCCAGCTTTTCGTTGTGATATTGTGGCAGACATTGTCTCTCTTCATCTGCCTCTGCTGCACAGGCTGGACAAACAAAACCCTTATGTTCCCAGTGTCTCTTCAGGTCAGGGGTCCATGTGACAAACTTGTGGCACTGTGAATCAGCAGAAGTCTACTGGTAGCTTCTAGGAAAGGTTTTGCTTCATTGATAGAGGTATTTGATATATCTTTCTTCTGTTTGTTCTGCCTGGGATTAAAAATCTGTGACCACCATTTTGTATTACAGAAGGAAGGACCAAGAGAAACATACGGCCGACCCCAGTTATGCTTCTGCTCAGCCGCTGAATCTAAATCAGTAGTTGTGTATCTTCAGATTTTTTTTTTTAAGAAAAAATACACTCTCTATTGTTTGCCTCTAGAGCCATCTTTAACAAGCTGGTAACATTTTCTCTTAACCCTGTCCCCATTAGGTTTTTTTCTTTTTCTTTTCCTGATTTATTAATGACATCATGACTCTCTTCTGTTCAAAACTTTGAAGTTACTAATGTTCTCATGTTCTGTCTCCTTTTTGACACTTCATTGATCACTAGTTTTCCTTTGGCCTTTCTATTCTCATTGTTTTTGACTTCTAATCTAGAGAATGAATACACTCAAATCAGCTATGTTTGAGGATCATCTGGATTTGAATTCAAATTTTATCACCTTTATCCCCTAGCTGTGTGATTTCCATTCTTCTAGCTTTGAGAGCCAAGTGATTACTTTTTCTTTTTTTGGGGGGGTGGGGGTGGGGCTTGAACTCTGGGCCTGGGTGCTGTCCGTCAGCTCTTCAGCTCAAGGCGAGAGCTCTACCGCTTGAGCCACAACACCACTTCCGGTTTTCTGAGTGGTTTATTAGAGATAAGAGTCTCATGAACTTTTCCTGCCCCGGCTGGCTTTAACCGCAATCCTCAGATCTTAGCCTCCTGAGTAACTAGGATTACAGGCATGAGCCACTAGCGCCCAGCAGTGATTACTTTTTCTGAGGCTACCAGTTCCTATCATGATGACTGTGTTGAAGGTTGTGCGTTAAGAAAGCAAGTGAATCTGAGTGGTTGTCTCTGAATAGAGAGACAATAAATAGGGCATGAGTTTGAGAGCTGGAGTATACATTCAAGTCTGAATTTTGATTTGGGCAAATTTTTTAATTCTAGTAGTTGCTTTATAGATTCTTCAGGATTTTTTAATATTGACTAACACTGTATGTGAAAAGTAGAAATTTTACTGATTTTTTTTTTAAGATAGGGTCTCATTATATAGCTCAGGCTAGCCTCAAACCTGCCATCTGCATGCTCCAACCTCCTAAATGCTGGGATTTCAGTCACGGACCACTCCACCTAACCTTTTCTGATCATTATGTTTTCTATTATTCATGAATTTGCTAGCAATATTTTCTCAGGGGCCATGCTAATCTTCTCTGTATTTTCCAATTTTAGTACATATACTTTCTGAAATGAGCACTATCTATTTTTCTTGCTTTATTACATTGACTAGGACTTCTAGGACAAGATTGAAGAAAAAGAGTGAGAATGGACATCTTTAAAAATAAATGATGTCATTTATTTTGACAGTGCTGGGGTTTGAGTTCAGGGCCTTGTGCTTGCTAAGTAGCTCTACAACTTCAGCTTTAATCACAGCCCCTTCTGGCTTTAGTTTTGTTTTTTTTTGATGGGGGGAGGTCTCATATTTATGCCTAGGCTGGCCTTGAACCACTTCCTTTTTGTGTGTTTTGCATAGTCAGGATGATAGATGCATGCCAACATGTCCACTTTTTTTTTTTTTTTTGCCAATCCTAGGGCTTGAACTCAGGGCCTCGGCACTGTCCATGAGCTTCTTCTACTCAAGGCTAGTACTCTACCACTTGAGCCACAGCACCACTTCTGGCTTTTTCTGTGTATGTGGTACTGCCGAATCGAACCTAGGGCCTCATGCATGTTAAGTGAATGCTCTACTATTAGGCCACATTCCCAGCCCAACATGTCCACTTTTACTGGTTGAGATGGAATCTTGAGAACTCAAGATTGAGAACCTCAATCCTGATCTCTGCCTTCCCAGTTAGTAAGGATTACATGTGTGAGCCATTATACCAGGCTTAAAAGAACCAATTTGTATTTGATTCTCTGTTGTTTGAGAAATTCATTGATTTCTACTCATTATCTTTCCCTTTATTATCCTTACTTTGAGTTTAACTTGTTTTTCTTTTCCTGGCTTCTTAGAGTGGAAACTTAAGGTTATTATTTTGAAACAATTTGTCTTTACTAATGAAAACATTTGAACTATAATTTTTCATGGCCAACACAGAGAAGGAAGCACAATTATTTCATCATTGATGTTTCCAAACTAAAACTGTTATTGATAGAAAAAAACAAGGTCTGATTCTGGGACCTGTTGACCCCCTCAGCCTCAGGGAGAAAATACCTGGAAATATAATGAATAGTATTCCAATAACAATTCAGCAATGGCTTTCATAAAGCTATAGGGACATTATGGAAGGGTAATTTTCCTAAGGGATAAATATAATGTAATATATGCATGTATAATGTAGAATATATAATAGAATATATTTTATAATAAAGGTATATGTATACATATGTATATATGATATAACTTTCTGATGACTTGACATAAACCAAGGAAGTTTATTAGGAAATTGTAGGGATAGATGAATTACTTCTCTTTCAGGAAATCAGTATAGTTTTTTTTCACATCTGAGGCATTTGATAATGATTAATATGTTGCTGCAATAACTGAAGTAATATTTTCCAGTAAATATATGAAATGCTATCTTCTGTGTTGTTGGTTAGTTGAAGAATAATGTTTCTTTGGAGCCAGCCAAGTAATGTCCTCAAATGTTAACAAGACAAGGACATATGCTTTAACGGTGGTTTGCTTCTCCTTTGAGAGAATGTGGGAGGATGGGTGTTTTCTAGAGGAGAAATGTGCACGACTCAAACACCGGGACAGATGGCAATCAGAAGTTCATAGTTTATGCCATAGGTCATGGACCCATAGCTTTAAGCATGGAAACAAAGTTAATTGCATTGACATCTTAAAATACTTAACTGTGGGTGACCTAATTTTTATTTTTAAAAAAAACCTTTTTATTAAATAAAAGTGACTATAAAATCTAAGCATGAAAATAAGATGATTTTGCTTTATAGAAATATATTAGTTGGTTAAAAGTTCAAAATCCTCTTTTCTTTTGATTAAATGAAGGAATAATTTTAAAGGCCCTAAGGAAATGATTAAGAGTTAGTGTTGAAAACAAGTAGAAAAGACCTTTGATGGGAGGCAAACATTATTTGCAACTTAACAATGTGATTCTTTGTAGTGTGTGAAATTTCAGTTCTGTTTGAACTCCAAAGGACAGAATAATTTCCTACTTGGTAGTTGGGAAGACTTGTCATTTAGTCATTGATAACTGTTTTTTTATCTTTATTGAGATAATTAACAAATGACAATTACATATATTTAAAAGGGAAAACTTGATTTTCTTTTTTTTGTGTGTGTATGTGTATATCTGTGTGTGTGCCAGTACTGAGGCTTGAACTCAAGGACTGGATGCTGTCCTTGAGCTTTTTCATTTAATGCTAACTCTCTATAATGTTAGCCATTGTTCCACGTCTGACTTTTTCATGTTTTTATTGGACTTAAGACTCTCACAGACTTTTCTGCCCAGGTTGGCTTTGAACCATGATCCTTGGATCTCAATCTTTTGAGTAGGATGACAGGCATGTGTCACCGATGCTTACCTTACTAATGTTTTTGTATTTGCTTTTTATATTTTTCTCACTATAAAATAGCAGCATATTCCCTCCCCACTTTTTTTTTTTCGGATCTTGGGGCTTGAACTCAGGGCCTGGCACTGTTCCTGAGCTTTTTTCCTTAGGGATAGTGCTCTACCACTTGAGCCACAGCTCCACTTGTGGCTTTGTGGTGGTTAATTGGAGATGAGTCTCCTGCTCAGGCTGACTTTGAACTGTGATCTTCAGAGCTCAACCTCCTGAATTGCTAGGATTACAGGCATGAACCACAATGTCTCGATTGTTTTACATTTTTTTTATGTCAAAAATTGAAGGCAACTTGAGAATAGTGAGTCTCTATTATGATGTTAGGGCAATGGGTATATAGCAGACTTGTAAGTATTTTCCAATGAAAAGTATATCATAACTTTCTAACTTTTTAGAGGTTTTATTTTTTATTTAATATTTTTATTTAATAATAATAATAATAACTTGCGACCAAAAGCTTCTGTTAAATCATCCAGGTGGTCAGAGCATAAGCAATATAGACAGTCCAGGGAGCAGTAATGGACGATATCTCAGCAATCATATGATAAAGGAATCAAATAAGAAGACAGCTATATCTGAGGGAGATCTTTGAAGCATAGCCAAACTGGTTAAATATGAATAGAACATAATTTCATTTCCTTGAGCTATAACTGCAACAGTGTGTTATCAGCTTGTGAATGCCTCTTATCTTTCCTCAATTGAATTTTCCATTATCTCTACTGCTTTGCTTCCTACCTGTCCAGCACTTCAGTAGATATTTATCTTAACAACTTTAAAGGCTTATTTTAGAATTCAACACTCAACAGGCGATGGATGTCCAAGTAAATTTAATTTTTAAAACACAATGGGTTCTAGGGGCTGGGAAGGTGGCTCAGTAGTAGAGTGCTTGCCTTGTATGCATGAGGCCCTGGGTTCGATTCCTCAGCACCACATAAGCAGAAAAGGCTGGAAGTGGTGCTGTAGTTCATGTGGTAGAGTGCTTGCCTTGAGCTGAAGAGCTGAGGGACAGCACCCAGGCCTAGGGTTCAGGCCCTACAACCGACAAAAAAAAAAAAACAAAACCCAAAACAAAAAGCAAACCCACAATGGGTTCGAGACAAGAACTGGTGGATCACGCCTGTAATCCTAACTACTCAGGAGGCTGAGATCTGAGAATTGTGGTTTGAAGCCATCCCTGGCAGAAAAGTCCTGGTGAGACTCTTATTTCCAATTAACTTCTCAAAAACTGAAAGTGACACTGTGGCTCAAGTGGTAAAGTGCTAGCCTTGAGCACAAAGAGGCTCAGGGATAGCACCTAAGTCCTGAGCTCATCCCCACAACTGACAAACCAGAAAATCACCATTGGTTCAAGCAAGGCACAGTGGCTTATGCCTATAATCTAAACTATTCAGGAAGCTGAGATCTGAGGATTGTGGTTTGAAGCCAAGAAAGTTTGTGAGACTCCTATCTCCAGTTAACTGCCAAAAAACCAGAAGTAGAACTGTGGCTTAAGTAGTAGAGTGCTATCCTTGAGCAACAAAGCTCAGGGACAGTGACCAGGCCCTGAGTTAAAGGCCCAGGATCAGCACAAAAATTCAAAACCAAACAAAAACACCCTTTGTGGCTTCAGATGATTAATATATTTTATGTCTCTCTTTTTGGGTGTTCTAAACCTAAAGATCCACAGTAGGAATGAGCAGTGAAGCTGCCAGTCAGAGATATTACTGAATCCAAAGTGGACCCCACTTTACCACTGGAGTGTTTAGGTTATCTGAAAGATAATATTAAATTCTTCAAATTTAAAATAGGAATAATTAATAGTATGCACATCTTACTCATTGCTTTCAGGAAACAAATATAGGCATTGCTGAGAAAGAAGAGTGAACACAGAGAAAAAAAATAGAGTGGAAGGAATGATTTTAAAAAATGCTGAGAATTAAGGCTAGGAAGGTGGCTCAGTGGTAGAGTGCTTTCCTTGCATGCATAAGGCCCTGGGTTCGATTCCTCAGCACTACATAAGCAGAAAAGGCCGGAAGTGGCGCTGTGGCTCATGTGGTAGAGCGCTAGCCTTGAGCTGAAGAGCTGAAGGACAGCACCCAAGCTCAGAGTTCAGGCCCCACGACTGACCAAAAAAAAAAAGCTGAAAATTAGTTGGGCACCCATTGCCCATGCCTATAATCCTACCTACTTAGGAAGTTGAGATCTGAGGATTATAGTTTAAAGCCAGTCCAGGGCGGAAAACCCATTGAGACTCTTAATCACAGAAAAAACTGGAAGTGTCATTGTGGCTCAAGTGGTAGAGTGCTAACTTTGAGCAACAGAAGCTCAGGGATAGCATGTAAGACCAGAGTTCAAGCCCCAGAACCAGAAAAAAAAATCTGAGAATTACCTGAAAGGGACAGCTTCTTCTTTTTTAATTGAAAATCTCAATTTGTTTTTGTATTTATTCATCTACTATTGATTTTTAACTGCCTTTAAAGAGTCAAATTCTGCCACATAAGAATGACTGTGGATAGAATAGCATTTAACAGAATAGCATTGACAGAGCAAGCAACTCAGATATATAATTGATTTTTTTCTGCATTCTACATATTGATAAAGCTATACAGTAGAAAATGCACTGATGGGATATTTATCTCATTGGGCTGATATTAAAGGAATAAAAAGAGATCTAAAAGATTGGTGATAAGG